CCGAGGTTAAGGCTACTGAAAGGAGAAAGGCTCTTGAAGAGATTTTGTACACTTTGGTGGTGCAAAAATTCATGGATGCTAATGTTTCTTTGATACCTGCCATTACCCCATCTGCGTCAGACCTTTCTGGTCGAGTTGATACATGGCCAAGTGAAGAGGACAAGCTTGAGCAACTTCACTCACCCGAAGCCTATGAGATGATCCAGAACCACCTAGCTCTCATCCTAGGAAATCGGTTGGGTGACTCAGCCTCTTTAGCACAGATAAGCAAACTCAGAGCTGGGCAGGTTTATGCAGCATCTGTAATGTATGGGTACTTCCTCAAGCGGGTTGACCAGAGGTTTCAGCTGGAGAAGACAGTAAAGATCCTTCCAAATGCACTGGGTGCCGAAGACAGTAATGTTCAGACATCTGTGGGGGAGGACATGAGGCCTGGTGGTGAAGAGGAGTCTTTGCAAGCAGCGGCTTCCCATCCTGAAGTCACTTCCTGGCCCGGAGGCATCAGTCCTGGGGGTTTTGGTAATGGAACTAAGCCATCCCGCTTGCGGACCTATGTGATGTCTTTTGATGGAGAGACCCTTCATAGGTATGCAACAATTAGATCGAGAGAGGCTGTTAGCATCATTGAAAAGCACACCGAGGCATTGTTTGGAAGACCTGATATTGTCATAACACCTCAGGGGACAGTTGATTCTTCCAAGGATGATCACGTCAAAATTAGCTTTGGTGGTTTGAGGAGACTTGTTCTGGAAGCCGTGACTTTTGGTTCTTTTCTTTGGGATGTTGAGAGCTATGTGGATTCCAGGTATCATTTTGTTACAAACTGAGTTATGTTGAGTGAAGATCCTGCCCTTGCAAACTTGGCGGTGCGTGTGGAGGCACAACATTACATACCATGATGGGATATTGACTGTAGGCCTAGTGAAAATACCAAATATTTGTATTTGGTGCTAATTGCTGTGTATATATAAATTGTTCAAGATTTGCCTTTGTCCGTGCCGTGTGGAGAAATAGGTGGGATTTTATTACTTTGATCTCAAGTGTGTAGCCGGACCATTTTGCAGGGTTTTGAAACTCTGTAATTTTTCTGTTCGCGTGGCGAGGATTTTTCATTGATACAACAAGTTACAAGAAGATAAAACGTGGGTCATTTTATTTAATAGAGAGAGCTTAGGAGAGAGTCTATCTTGACATCTCTACATGGAATCGTAAGGAAGCTTGGATAGATTCAGACGATGCAGAAGTGTGCCAGATACATCGTAGAAAGCAAATTCTGCATCAGTCTCTGTAAATTGTGCAGATAAGAAACCCTGCCCGTCATAGTAAAACTTGGACCCATCTCCTTTCATTTTAATGTCACCCTTCCATGCTTTCGACCCACCACCACTGGTCAAGAATTGGATTTGGCTGCATAAACAACTTCAACTAGTGAGATTTTTAAGAAACAATTCAATTTATTGATAAATAGAACTAGTAACGGTTAAGCCATGTTTACCTGTTGGTGCTGCTTATGTGTTCCAAGCAGTGGTCGTGTCCATTTATGTACGCATCAACGTTGTTTGCCTGAATCATAATAAAAATACGAATAGATTATTCTATCGCTTGTATAAAAAAAAAACTAAACAAAAAAATATATGAAATATATGAAGATGGAGTTACCTCAAGAATGGGAAGAATCTGGTCTACTACCTCCTTGGTGTCTCCATGATGCCCTATGCTTCGGATGGTATGATGTCCGACGACAACTTTCCAGTTTGCAGAAGAATTTCTCAATGCAAAATCTAGATCCTGTTCCCAGAACAAAAGCAATGTATTAGATTTTGGACAATGAAAAGCACTGTTTAAATATGACGGTAGTAAGGATCCAATGTTTGTAATGAGGAAGATGATGAGAAGAACCTTCAAGAGGTTGGAGAGGTACTGTTTCCTAGGAAGCACACCTCTCCAGTCATGCTGGTAGTGCTTTTTCCTCAGAAAGTACTTGTCCACAAAAGGATTGGTGTCGATGAAGAAGAAGTCTGCAATTTTTGTGTTAACAAGAAAGGACCTGAGGCAAAGCCAGCGGCTGTCGATCTTCCTAAGGACTGGGCTCAATTGGGCCAAAGCATTTCCCCTGTAGTCATGGTTGCCAAGAACTGAGAGTTCCCCAGAATCAAAGTGAAGGAGATAAGATGGAAAACAAAGTCAGCGCCATGCCTATGCCAATTTCCATGAGAAGAGTCAGTCAGTTTTGAGTGCAACTGAACTCACCAATATACCATTGCTTTTGGAGGCTCTTAGCAGTGTAGATTTCAGTAAACGACTCCACAAATGCAGGGTCCTTTACGCTGGTCAATCCCCTGTTGTAAAAATTATCGCCAGTAGAGATCACGAAGTCTATGTTTAATTTGGTTCCAATCTCTCCCATCTACAATTCATTACAAAACACCGCAACATTATTGTCTACTGTCCTCCAGAAATCCCCTGCCCCCTTGGAAACAGAGGAAACAGAGCACCACTAAACCAAGAAAGAAGAAAATCCCAGGCTACATACTGATACTCCACGGAGGATTTCCAATAAATTCAAAGTTTATGGATGCAATTAACATTCTAATTGTATTTGGTTCACTTTAGGATGATGCCTATCAAACACAAAAAAAATAAAAGATATTTAGTGATATACCCATTCTCAGCAGTAATAATAAAGATAAAACCCTAAACTATTTAATTTCTATAAACAAACTTTAAAAAAAACCCAAAAAATGACAGCTAGCCCTATTGAATTTAATTTTGATTATTAAATTACTTTGATACCGTATTGAGTGTTTGAAGCTTTTTTATAAGGTTTTGAGGTTGGGTTCGTTTTAATAAATCAATGGCAGTTTTGTAATTTAAAAAAAGTTAAAAGCCTTTTTGTTATGTTGTAAATGGGCTTTGGATGTGTTTCTAAAATTCATTTTATATGAGATTGTTTTATAATTTGGGTTCCTATATTGGGTATAGTAGTGAATCTCCCAAAAAAAAAAAACTCTCTCTAACAGGAAAATAGTTTTTCTTTCTTTCTTTCTTTCTTTCTCATCGTTTTTCTGGAAAGAAAGAGCTGAATGTTATCCCTGTGCTGCAACATATCATACGGCTTGTATTTATTCGTTGATAAAATCTGAACCTGAAATCCCATCTCAAAATGTATGTCCTGCTCCTGGTGTTGACACCTAATTACCGAAACAAGTAGAGAAAGCAGTAAAAGGAGGGTGACACGCATGTCGTAGCAGGTGATGAGTTGTTGGAACATAATGGCTTCTGGACATGCAACACAATTCACATTTGTCCTTTACTTTTGCGGAATATGCCAAGTAAAAAAGAATGATCCCGCTCAGAAAGAAAAAGCTAATCTATCCTGCTAAATGACGAAACTTTTCATGCATATCATGCAGCTAGCACAGGAACAAAGCTGTTCCTTCGGTGGTGCCTTTTCTCAGCAGCTTCTTAATTAGCTTGCAGACAGAGAGAGAGAGAGAGAGAGAGAGAGAGAGAGAGAGAGAGAGAGCTTCTCATCAAGACTATTTCAATATGTAAAAGAAACACATAACACATTAAAAAAACAGAAATATATACTACTATTCCTCGAGGAGGTTGTGTGGAAAATAGAAATCAACTGGAGATTAAAGAAAACATGATTAAACCGTGCAAATTTAAGGCGGGGAAGGAAATTAAGTTACCAAGTTAAGCATACAGTTCCCCTATAAATTATAATTAATTGTATTATGTAATAGCAAATACAATCTTTTCTCTGTTGTTAATTAAGAACCAAACCAGGCTTAATTATAAGGAAACTAAGAAAACTTTGTAGATAGAAGAGATCAAGAGTCTGTCTATAATAAACATATTAAAGAGAAGAAAAGTCCGTGGAGTCTAGTTTGTAGTAAAGATTGATAAAAATGGATGAAGTGAAGCGATATTATAAAACCTGATAAGCTACTTGAGATTGATTGTAAGCACCCCTTCTACCCCAATCACCAATCGCCAAAAAGCTAAGTGACCCATCGGCTTTGACAGGGTGCTCAAATCGCTGAAGCTCGGCTGTCGACACAGAAACAAAACTCAACAAGATAATATTGTTCATGCAAATAACCACCCACAGCCACAGGAAACCCATGGACATGGCCGGATATGGTTAATGATCGAAATCAACCAATGTTCTGATTTGGAACTATGATGCAAGAGAGAGAGAGCAGAGAGAGAGAGAGAGAGAAAGCAGAGATGGTTGGAACTATGATGAAACTTCTGAATTTGAGTGTATATATATATATATATATATATATATATATATATATATAGGCTAATTATTCTCAGTGGTTGTACAAACACAAAGTAGGTGATAATTTATGATCTAAAGACCATATATAGTGCAATATTTACACTCTAATTTTAAGATGTCCCATACACAAATGTAAACATAACATGCAATGCAAAGGAAAGTGAATGCTACGTCGACCCACCGATCCATTTTAAGATATAGCAGCAGTGGGCATATCTGCAGGAGAGTGCAGTAATGTTGCGGTAGCGCGGGGTCCCATCCTGGCTAGGGTTGCTTTCTTATCAGTTTCCTAGCAATTTCCTAAATCTTGTTTTTGTCTTCCAGGTTTTGGTCCTTTGGCAGTTAGGTGTCAATAATTGGAGCCAGCGGAGAATCCTATATCTCTGGCCTGAGCCTGAAAGACAAACTTGGCTGATGGAGCCAAAGTTTCTAATTAAATCACCACATGCGTGTCATGTTACCCTCCTGATTTATTGGCGTGTCTTAGTCTTAGAAAATGTACCATATATTTCTTGGCTTAATTTTGTCTTTCTAGTTGTTTGCCACGCACGAATGGATCAGTTGGCAGAAACTTCTGCTAAACACATCCTTAATTATGTTTGTTTGTTTCCAGATAACATATTTGAGAAGCAGCTTGAATCTGGGTTTCCTTGTTTTGTTTAAAATGTTGTACTTGTATGGAGCAATATAAGCTTGGCATATATAACTGTAGTGGTCGAAAAAATCAACCAATTTGGTAATTAAGGATGCAGCCAACTGAGGTACATTAATTAAAAAATAAGAACATTTGGTAATTGAATCTTCGTCCTGGCAACAATCTATAATATATATATTATATGCGGCTGCATTGAATCTGAATCTATAATATCTTCCCTCTAGGCTTCTCTAGGCTGGAGCTACAAAACTTAATTTATATAGATGGGTGAAGCTGCTTGGAAGAATGCGATCTATGTAAAACCTTGCCAAAAACATCATAAAAAGCGATCTCTGCATCCGTGGGATTCAACTGCACAGACATAAAGCCTTGACCATCATAAAAGAAGTTGAGCCCTTCTTTGTTCAACCCCTTGATGTCTCCCCTCCATGCTTTGGACCCTGCTCCACTTGTTAGAAATTGTATTGGGCTGCAACAAATCCAGTTTCAATCAGCATTAGTTGCACATACAAACTCTTCCATTCTTAAGAAACGCCTGAATTGAACTTACCTTTCTATGTCACTGATGTGTTCTAGGCAATGATCGTGCCCGTTCATGTAAAAATCGACATCATTGGCCTAAGATTTATGAAGGATTTAGCAGAGTTAGCTTCTATTTTACATCCATTCATCTCAACAAGAAAGCAGCATAAAATTAACCCTTTGCTTTAGAATTGGAAGCTTTGACAGATATACCTGAAGGATTGGGAGAAGCTGCTTTATAAGTTCCTCTGTATCACCATGATGCCCAACACTTCTAATTGCATGGTGACCAACAACTATCTTCCACTTTGCAGAGGACTTCTTCAGTGCCAACTCAACATCCTATTACAACATCATTATTTATATTAATAAGCATCATCAATGATTAAGCACATTTTAGGTAAGAAAGATACTCAAAATTCAAAATGGAAGCAGAAACTTAATTTTATATATTATATACCTTCAATAAGGTTGCAATATAATCCTTGCGAGAGGTAATGCCTCGCCAATCATAAGTATGGTCCTCTGTGTTTGTGAAGTACTTATTGACAAGAGGAGAGGTGTCCACAAAGAAAATCTCTGCTAATTCTGGGGAAAAGAGATGGGAAGAAATTGCTTATGTTATGATTGAGTCTTACAGATATCAATTTCTTGTGTAGAAAAGCTGATACTCAAAGAGGGTGTATAATATATGCTCACCTGTATTGACAATGAAAGACCTCAAGCAAGTCCATCTGCTATCAATTTTCCTAAGAAGAGGGCTCAGTTGAGCCTCTGCATCACCCCTGTAGTCATGGTTGCCCAACACTGCATTCAAAGTTATCAGAGTCAAAAAACAAATTTATTGAAATTATTATAACCAATAAGCTTTCTTCCTAGTATTGGAAACTTGGAACTTACCGCTGTACCACTGCTTTTGCAGGCTCTTTGCTGTGTAGATTTTGGTAAATGACTCCTCAAATGCTGTGTCATGTTCGCTTGCCAATCCATTATCATAAAAGTTATCGCCCGTCGAAACCACAAAATCTATGTCAAGCTTCTCTCCAACCTTTCCCATCTACAAAAGTAGTCGTACCACAAATTTGTTTAGCAAACACAGATTAGATTAACTAATTCTTGCACCTGAAGCAATCAAGAAAATGCAGGCAGGGGACTCAGAGAGAAGAAAAACAACAAAGGGAAACAAGTTATACTGTTATATGTTTTTTCTTTCACTGATTTACTTTTCCAAATCATGCGTGTATGTTTTTTCTTACTATGCATAACTTTTTTATAAAAGTATGTTCTTGAGTGGCTGTGGCTTCACATGATGCACCTTGCCAGAAATCATGAGTAGAATATATGAATGACAAGAAGCATTAGAAGTTGTGGAACCTGAAAGGCAACTTGAGATTGGTTAAAAGCTCCTCTTCTCCCCCAGTCACCAAGTACCAAGAAACTAAGTGATCCATCTTCTTTGGTGGGGTGTTCGAATCTCTCAAGCTCTGCAGATGTAATTACCAGACACAGGCCAAAACTCAGGATCAAGAAAAAGCACAAGGTCCTGGAATTTTTGTAAGGTATAGCCATAATTAGATATGGCTCTGCCGGAGTTTATAAGGAAATGAATAACTGTATGTATGGATGAATGAAACTGAGGCAAGAGTAAAGAGTAGATGAATGAATATTAAGGGTGAGAGTCCTGAGGCCTCTTATATAATAGCAAGGTCGGTAATTAATTAAGAGACAACGCCATTTAATTATAATTATGATTCATGATGAAGATGATGGAAAAGGGTTGCAGTTAGTTACCAATATTAGACTAACAGTCGTCATTCAGGGGATAAACGACAGCATATTTTCTCATCCAGCAACTGGGGTTGGTGTAAATTTGTAATTTAGTGCTGCGGAGTGATTCTTTCTTTCTTTTTCTTTGGTTTTTTTTCATATAAAGTATTGGTTTAAATTTGATTGCGTTTGATTTGACAGAGAGAACATGAACATGACTCATGACCATAATGTTGTTTCACGGATTACAAATCTATAGTTGTCACAGTTTCAAATTTCAACGCAGTGCAGTACACAAGACAAGAGGTTTGCAATTAAAAAACCCAATTATTTATAACCACCCAACATAATTGGATATAATCATGCAGGTGCAGAAATCAGAATCTCAGAAAGATGCAGTCATGAGATGCGAATATGCCTCTGGCATAACTGCTAGAGCCGTTCAGAATATTCGGAGGATCCGAGTCCAAGATCGGGAATTCTGTTTTCCTCCACTCAGAATATGACACGGCAGACGTCATCATCACCCAACAGTGAGCCAAATTGGTATTTTTGAAACAAACATTTACTACTACGGCTACTTAACCTAATAAAGGCTGAGGGTTAGCGAGAAGAAATACTTTCCTATTTCCGTTTCATTGTATTCCTCTTTTTATCTCTCTCTTATGCTTTGATAGGTGGAGTCATTCTATAGTGAGGGCCTTATCTAAGGCCCTTAAATGAGATGATGTCATATTTCTTAACCGTTTGATCAAACTAATACATTTGATCTACCACTAATTGATTTGATCCAATGGTTAAGAGATAATGTCTCATCTAAGAGCCTTACTCACTATAAAATTCTTGTTGATAGGTGACAGAAAGATGAGGATACTGAAACGGGAATAGGAAAGTTTTTAAAAATATATAGAATATTTTAAACGTATAGCCAAGTGGCTATACTCCAAAAATGGTATATTTAATAGTATAGCCGGACGGCTATACTAGGTACACATAAATAGTATATTTAATAGTATAGCCGACCGGCTATACTCCATACATAGAATACTCCACAACGGTGTAGCCGCGCGGTTGTACTCCACAACATTATAGCCGCGCGGCTATACTCCGTAAAATAGTATTAGTTAATAGTATAGCCGCGCGGCTATTACTCGACCGGCAATATTATATATAGAATATTTTAAACGTATAGCCGCGCGGCTATACTTCATAAATATTATATTTAATAGTAACGCCGACCGGCTATACTCCATAGATAGAATATTCTGACAGTATAGCCGCACGGCTGTACCCCATAAATAGTATATTTAATAGTATAGCCGCGCGGCGCTACGACATAAATAGAATATTCTAACAGTATAGCCGCGCGGCTATACGCCATAAAATAGCAGAATCTTGATTTCTCTTTTTAAATTTGTTTAATTAGCAGTTATTTTTTAAATTATTATTTACTTAGTGAATAATTAATATTTAAATATTTTATCAAAGAAATTTTTTTAAAAATTTAAATACTATTGATTAAGTAATATAATTTATAAAGTTAATTAAAATATTTAATACTAATTATTCACTAAAGAAATAATAATTAAATTATAATTACTAATGAAAGTAATTAAATAAAGCTAAGATTTTATTACTAATGGAAAAGTTTTTCTCTTAAGAGAGAAAGAAAGTGAGTACCTTTACAAATTGGATCAGATTGGATTGATTTGAAAAGAAAAAAAAAAGGTTGGATCGCATCTAAAATGATAGCGCAAAACCTACATGAAAGCCCATAATCAAATTATGTTTGAGTTGGGTTCAGAAGTTGAACTGGACCACAGCTAGAATGTTGGCCCAAACTTGAGGTCGGTTCCAGAGTTCACAGCGTATATTTAGCGAAAAGGTGATTAGGGATTGTGGTTGATTACATTCGTTCTTGAAGAAAGCAGAATTATATTCATCGTCAAGAAAGAAACATCCTTACCTTAGCTCTCTCTCTCAAACATGCTAAGAGCAGACGAGGAAGACGACGAGGAAGACGCTTCAGAGCTCAAGATTGGAGACGGTATCTAAATATTATTTTCCTAAAGATGTTTTCAAATCTCTAATGCACAATTATGGACATTGTTATCGATGTGATCCTAGGCAGAATTTTACCTGCTGTTTGGCTGTTATGTCAATTTTCAATATGATGATACCTAAAGTTGTGTTTGTGTATCAATCAAAGAGGGTAGAAAACCATCAATTCTGTATGCATAAAGAAAAAGAAGTACAGAAGATGTGACATTGTACCAGAAAGAAAGAATGACTGTTGGCGTAGATATGAATGATATAAAAATGAGTTTGTATGGGACCTTGATTGAATTGTAAACGTAGTGAGGTTAAAGTTTGAATATATTAAGTTAATGACATTGAGTTTGTGGTTGTGAAGATTTCTTGAAGGCGAAATGTTTAATGAATAGTGAGGTTGCCATTCTGCTTGAGCATAGATGTGATCAGATGAAGCATATGTCTGGCGATTCAACGACCCAACTTCCTCAGTAAGATTTCTCGTATCGTATATTTGTTATTGTAACCATTACCATACATACATTATATATACAAATATGATGTGGCTGCGTACTAGAACCAAGAACCAAATAAGAACCAAGAACTAAATGATGATGATGATGATAATATTTGATCAAAATGGATGATGATGATGTTATTGTCCTTTCCTGGCTGTGTACCAGAGTGTTGGAGAAATCACTGCAGTATGTTAAGCGCTTCAGTCGCTTCACGAATCAGGGCTCTGTAAAGCAAGTTCGAGAGTATCCTGCATTGCTTGCTTGCTTTCTTGTTGTTGATTTATATACACTATTACATGTATTAGTCTTAGTTGTTATTCTTAATAAATAGCATTCAGAGTCCTGAGTAGATACCAATTGGCTGAATTCGAGGTAATTTTTATTAATTATAATATTGTACCAAACCAAAACATTCATTCAAAACAACAAATTAATTTGCTCATGTCTTCTACCCTGCAGCTGGCTGTCATTGGGAATCTCTGTCCTGAAAATGTGGAAGAAGCCAAGTCAGTTGTGCCTTCCCTCAAGGTACTTTTTTATTTCCCTTTCATCATTGATGTTTTTGTCTGTAAAAAAGCTATAATTGATGAACCTCCCTCCTCATCAAATTGCAGACCAAAGGACGTGGGCATGATGATGAAGCCATTGAGAGACTGTTAAATGACCTCTTAATGGTTAAAAAGTTTGAGTGACATATATGCTTCCTTCCAGCCTTCCAGCCTTCCATGTTTCTGTGGTGAGCTACTAGTTTATAGCATGTTTTGATTTATGGCCCAATGGTCTTGTCTTGAGGCAGGCTTGGTTGGGTATGGAGTTTAAGCATATGGGCCACGTTAGGCCAGACAACAAGACTATCGAAGCACGGTCGAGTTTAATTCAAGAAACATATTTCATTTTCAGTTTTCAAAATCACCATTAGTTTTGAAAACAACTTGAAAGTGTTTTTAGTCTTTAGTTTCCGTATTTTTTGGAGCTACTTTCTCATTCACCAATTTGACATCACTATACATGTGCATTGCTGATTTAAAATTTGACTCAATTTATGTCTACTATAGAAGAAAGATAAGAAACTCTCTGTGTGTCGCCGATTTAACTCCAGAAATGAAGAACATATGCATTGTCTTCATCCAACTTTACATACATATACGTATATTCTCTTTTGATAACAAATGATGGTGTAATTGATTTGAAGTAGCAATAATGAAGTTGAGGTTGAGGTAGCATGTAATGTAACGTAACCCAACTCTACCCTATCAATGTCATCCCTATTTATGACTTTAACAACTAGTTGTGAGCAGAATACAGGGCCTCATAAAATAATTAACGAAAAAGCTATTCATTCAATTCAATTCCATATTGGAGGTGTGAAATTATAGAATAGTACGATATTACCACGTCAGCATATGATACTTCCATTCAAAATTTGCCACGTGTCATATTTAAAAGAAAATTAAAACCATTTATACAATTGGAGTTTGACTTCCAATTTTACCCTTTGGAGTAAAATTAGAAAAGAAGAAAATAAAAAATAAAAAATCCTTCAACTGGGAGTCCTCCTCCACCCTCAATCTCCGTTTATTCCCTCATTTTTCTTTTTAGCTTCCTCTGCTTTTCTACAATGAAGGAAACAAACCCACATCTCAAACCTCTCCTCCTGCTAATTTTACTACCTGCAATTCTCTCTCTACAAATAGCACAAATTTCTCCATCGCCGGAGCTCTTTACAAGTCCAAGATCCCCACCAAGGCACCCAACTCTTCGTATATGTATCGTTTCTCAACTTCTTTCATCTTCTCTCAATACTTTAGTTTCTCCATGGAGTCGTCTTCCTCGCCTCAAAACCTCATGTTCCAATTTCTTATTACTTTGTATTCTAACCATCACACTCTGAGGATTACCATGAGGGAAAAACTTTACAGAAAAGCAAACTGAAGTAAAAACCCTAAGAAGTTCTTTTGGGATGTGAATTTAAACTAACTATAAAATAAAGTGGTAGCTGATGAGGGAGAGGGAGAGAGAGATGGAGGGTGGGATGTATAAAAGGAAGATGGATTCAATGATACTATCGAGAAAAAAAAACACAAAAAGAAGAAGACTTCAATTGGCAGAGATAAGGGAAAGAGACGGTGGAGGAGGCAGGGTAGGGTTACCGCCGAGATTGGCTGGAGTATTCTTTTATTTTATTTTATTTTTAATATTATTTTAAAGGGTAAAATTGGAGGTCAAAGTCCAACGGTACAAGTAATTTTAATTTTCCTTTAAATAGAACACATGGCAAATTTTGAATGGAAGTATCATATGCTGATGTGGTAGTACCGTACTACTCCATAATCTCTCGTGAAATTGAAATTGGTGAGTCTGATAAATTATTATATATGAGGGTGGTGTGGTGGAAGCAAGGAAGGAAGGGAGGCCCCTGGTGGTTCAATTCCATCCACCTTCGCGAATGTTACTCACCCAATTCAAACCTGACCTCACAGACTGACTCTATTAATAATGATATACATATGATATATATATACGTATTGTTATAAGAAAATTTCATTTAATTGTCCAAGAAAATTACAGAAGTAATTTAATTATGTTTTTTGTTTGTTGGAAATAATATTAAATTTGTTGAGGGTACAAGAATACAAGGAGTTAATTTGATGGTGTCAGCTGAACGAACTGATGAGGGAGGATGAGAACGAAGAAAGCAGGAAAGAAACAAGTGTAGTAGGTTTGGTTTCCAGTTTCCAGTTGCATCTGTTGGCGCTGTTGGCTCTGTTAGCTCTGTTAGCTCTGGCTTTCGCAGGATCACAGGCTCTCTCTGAGTACTGGCAGTCAGCCCCAGCTTGTTAATTGTGGGATATTATATACATATATATAACTTAACTTATTATAAGCCATGCAGAGGAACGTCTACATCTTTCCTTCTCGGTATTCTATGTGATGTGAAAGCTCAGTGACATCCAGTTTTATGCTTAATAACACACACACACTCTCTCTCATTCTCTCTCTCTCTTGTTCAATTCAATTCAATTCTATTCTCAATTATGACCAACCTATGGATGGGAGATGGGGGGGCGGTGGTTGATTTCAATGTTGCCTCGGGCTTTATGAACAAGAGGAAAAAAGAAACAAAAAAAAGTCAAAAGAAGTCAAATCCCAAACAAAAGTTTCAAAGGCCCCAAAGCAAAACCCCATTTTTTTCACCATAAAGAAAGAAAGATTAGACATCATCCATAGTAGGCTGCTGCTGCTACTAGCAAAGCCTAGCTAGTAGGCCTTCCCTTTTTGTTGTCAAAAAGACGTTGGAATTGCTGAATAAAGTAGAGGCCTTTTCTCTCTCCCTCTCTCTCCTGACCCTCCTTCAATCATAAAGCAATCGATTGCAAAATCATTTCTTTTCTTTTGTTTCCTGTGCCCACTCAACTCACTTAATACTACGACCACTGTTGCCTAGGAATTGACGTCTCCCTCCCTCACTTATTTTCTTTTGAGTTTTGGCTTTTGCAATTTCACTTTCCCACTCCAATTCCCAGTAAGAAAACTAAGTCAGACCAAACCCAAAATAAAAAATATTATTATAATTATTGGACAGTTGGTGCATTTACCCAGTTGAGTCAAAGTCTGCATAGTAGAACAAGTAGACCATTATTGTTTTGTTTACAATCTCTGATTTCAAATGGTGGTAACACTAAACTTAAACAGTCTTCATTACTATTGTTTTAATTGTGGATGTTCAGTCCTCACTCATTCTTCATCTTTAATTTCTTGTACATTCAAATGCAGAACAGAAGCGAGGCTATGTGCACGTGCATCCTTTACTGTATTGGGAATTTGAGTGGAGTGTTGCAATCACAACAATAACTTTACTTGAATCGTACGTACGTATTGCATAATGAAACAAGCAAAAGTAGCTACAAGCAATAAAAGTAAATGTATATGCATCTACTTACAACTTTTACCAAGCCATCAATGAATGTATACTGTATACATACACTAGCTAGCTAACGCAGCGAAGCCTCAATTCTATTATATTTGTATATTGGATCCGATGGATGGATTGCTTGAACGATTGGGACAACAGATATATATATATTCTATGTACGTATGTATGTGTATTGAGATATCTTCAAGATTAAAACAAACACAAACAGCACAGAATTTATGCCATCCAATCAAACCCTATCTACATTAAAATTAATGGATGAGAGAGAGAAGAGAGAGTAGAAGACATGATGATCAAAATCCAACATGACTACAAATTTACAGGAAATTCACCTTGAAAATTGAAACTCATAACCCTGCTCAGTGCCCTGTTGTTTTGCTCGAAAAGGGGCCCCTAGATAGAACTAATTACCCAGATGGTGGACCTGTAGTTGTCTAAAAGGGTGGCCGAGGGTGCTTCTAATAAGAAAGGTAAGATTGTAAGAAGAAGAAGAAGAAGAGAGAGAGAGAGAGAGAGAGAGAGAGGGCAATATTAATATATACATTCATCTGCGTACGCAGTTATCAACAACACCATGTTTTTCTGGTGCTGCCATGGTCATCATTCATTTTAAGGCAGTTACAGTTACAGTAGAGTAGATGGATTGATGTATGATCAGTGCATGCGTAAATCCTGGAGTGGAGGGCATGCATGATGCATATACAACATTTCATTCATATTTGAGTGTTGCGGCATTGCTGTCTATTCTTCTAGCTACCTTCGTTTTCAGTCCAGTTTTTGTTTGCATTGTCATTTAATTTCCACAAGACCAACAACAACAAACATCTCTACCCCCACATGTACCCAACTCCATATATATGCATACAGCATCTTTAATTCTCCTTTCCTTTTATTGGTCAGATGCAAAATATTCCATGTTATCACCCAAAAAACAAATTATTCGATGCTTATAATAACAATTAATTCTATTACCAAGGCCCATGGCTTAATTGCATGTATTTGATAGGCATTATGGCTTGGCTCCTTAAGTTTCAAAAAATAGAAAAAATAATATTAAAAAAAATTGAAACGTGTTAAAACTACATTGGTTGTAAGGAGGAGCTCCAACTCAATTTTAAGGAGCCAAGCTTTTTCCTTTGACAAGAGACCTATCTATACAACTTGTTTTTTTCCCTTTGAAAATGTGTAACAGACATAAGAAGGGAATTGAAGACGGAATAAGGAGACATGCATGCTACCTTGACCTAACTTACATTGCTCAATTTATTTTCTTAGAAGCAATTAATAAATGAAAAGATGCTGGAAAAGAAGGAGAAAAGTAGAAATAGCTATTATTTCACCCCTTCCTCTTTTCATACCCAACCAAATTTGTAAGCAAGAATTACTTTATAATTTTGTATTTTGCTTGTTAGAATCACCCTAATATATATAAACCCATCATCCTCAGCCACCCTTTTAGAGATGCCCTTTTTTTGTATTAATTAACAAGTAGACAGTGACACTCTTTACAACTCTGCTTTCTTTTTCTTTTCTTTTTTATCATTTTCCATTGTCGGAAGACTCGGAGGTTCATTGTGTTTGTACGTACGTAGGCTTCTCTTTTTCCTAACGACGATTTGATCGTATTTGCTTTCTTTCCCTATACTATCAAAATCTCAATTCTATGAAGGGAGAATTTAAGATTACTGGATTAGTACACTAAAGAACAAATTATCTTTAATTCAATTTTAAACATTATCCCTCGGTTTTGGGAAAATAAGCTTATCATTCCATTTGCAAAATTTGGATGTCGTTCGTTTCGTTAAGTATGGGTATATCTCCTTGTTTTCTGTCGTGTAAAAGGATGTTTAGTCACTGTTGTTTTACTTAATTATTATATGAAAAGCAAAGTCATCATCCATCAACAGTACTAGTTGAAACTTATTTTTTTACTGGAACATTTTGACAATTGTAAAGCAGATACAAAGAAAGTGCGAGAATAGGTTTTCTGATTAATTACTGCCTTATCATTGCTATGAAATTTTCACTGTTAATTATTCCAGCCAACAGTTAATCTAGTCTTAGATCCACTGCTTGCCGACATGGTTAGTTACGACATACTTTTTTTGTTTTTATATATATATACTGTACACATGATAGGATGCAACAACCAAAATTATAAATGCGTGCTCAAAAAATAAACTTGTTTGTTT